CACTTTTTAATTGAGTGGGTCCCGGTTACCTCAACATCACGCTATTAATGAGAATACCGATTTATGAATCTGATTATTAAATATATAAATAACTAGCTTGCTGGTCGTAGCTGACGCATCGGGGAATTATCCTTCCTTTAATATAATTAACATTAATTTATAAAATTTTAGTAATTAGACTATACACGGCTGAATAAAGCAAGGAATGACAATTAAGCGGCTCAGTAGTAAGCACTGTACTCTACATGTGTCTGAAAATAAGAAGATACAATATTAATGTAAGAAAGTTTTTTAATCGTAGCTAATTTTAAATGTACTTATTTTACGGAGTTAATACGTTAAGAATATGAACCCAATATTATTCGTTGTCACGGTATATAACATGCTTGTCCGTTAATTATTTTTATATGAATTCATTATTCGTTAACATTTTAATGAAATGACCGGAATCATTTCATAACCATAATTTTATTTTTCCGTACACTTACTTGCGCATCGCTATCTCACGCTTGTCGCTCGCGTTATTAATTTGCTTGATAAATGTTTACTCATGATAATGCATTTCTGTTGCGCGCGGGATTGGTTGAAAAAATTGTCCCAGTGTCTATTTGTATGCGAACATTCGCGTGCTAATTGGAGCATGCCACGCTTGGCGCTTTTTGTCGCTCTAGTTGCGGTAAATTATTGGACATTCGCCTTTGTCATTGAAGTGTTAAAAACGCATGTATACATGTTTACGAGTATGTATGCCCCATCGACCCTGTCTAGAGGGACAATAAGAAATCCTTTCGTCGATCTTAATTCACATTTAACGTTTTATCTTTAGTGCACTGAAAATAAAATTAATCATACATTTTTTTAAACCTTTTCTTTTACTTTAAAATCAAGGGTCATCATTGATTGTTATAATTTTCTGATTGAAGTCGGTTTTGTTTTGTTAAAAATTATACTTGTAAAGCGTTCATCATCACATAGTGAACACTGAATAAAATCCCGAAGTGATTGAGGCGGAGTATGAGCTAGTCAAATATTGAATTTGTGAATAATGTAGGAAACTTATTGTCAAGTTTTGCGTAAAGTTTTTGATCGAGTATCTTTGACATGAGTTTACTTTGATTATATTTGGCATGTCACAATGTCCAATTTTCTTCATTCCTCAAACGGAAAATTTCAAATGCGCATGCTTGGTCCAAGACGCCATGATACAAGCTTTGACTGCTACGAATATGAACACGATCAAGATATCGTCCGAGCTGACAAATCATTTCTGTTAGAGGACATTTTGAACGTGTCTTTAAGATGTGGTACATAATGTGGTACATAATAGTCGAAATTAGCTAACTGTGGTAGGGCAATGCAACAGTCTTCACCGTTGCACGAATGGGCGTCCGAGGAAGTACCACGACCTCACAGAAAACCCGCGTGAAGTGGAAGAGTTACACTTCTGCGTTTCGTCTTGTGAGTGAGGTAATTGGAGCCAACTTTATTGAACACTAGTGACCCGCCCCGACTTCGCGCGGGAGCAATGTATTATACATATAAACCTTCCTCTTGAACCACTATCTAGTAAAAACGCATCAAGATCCGTTGCGTATTTTAAAAGATCTAAGCATACATAGGGACAGACAGATAGCGGGACCACTTTGTTTTATACTATGTAGTGATGACAACGCATCTGTAACTGGGCGTTGTAAATGCCCTTGGGCAGTGGTTATCACTTACATCAGGTGAATCGCTTGCTCGCTTGCTACCTTCTCATTTAAAGAAAGACCTGGTAGTTCGATGATGGTGTCCTCAACGCTGGCAGTGTAAGCGGCGCGTTTCTCCGGCCACGCGTCATCAAGCGCGAACAATCCAATCGACGATAGTCGAATCGCCTCGTTGTAGTTTACATCAGCTATTAACAATTCGCCGGTCCAACTATTGCCATTGCATTCATTTGGAGACCGATAAGCTCAGGCGAAAAATGTTCGTGACGCTTGCTTTTAAATATTTCTCGAAGCAATTTTGAAATCATACAATTTTTCCTAGAATTATTCGCTCGATTGATAAACTCCGGACTGCACTGCGAAACGTCGAATAAAGAACCTTTACTTTACGTCTTGTATAAGTCTTATTATTCAGTGTTTAAGACTGAATATAAAATAGTTTAAGTTTAATGCTAGTAAACTAAACTATATAAGACGTCTCTGAGTACGGCGGTCTATTTCAAACTTTAAGTTGTACTTCATTTTCGAAATTCCGAGCCGTGCCAGCTCAGGATACCGGCGCTCGTTCTTAATTCAATAATCTCGAGCAAACCGAGTTAAAATCGGTACCAATGAAATTTTTAATTGGCCATTAATAAGTGCTCTTCGGCGAACGAAGCCATCGTGAGGACATGACCTATATGAATTAATTGATTAACGAATTGACGCAGAAACACTTTTTTGAGATTATTTTTTATTTAATCTTTTAAATTTTGAGACCACTTAGCCGTACTAAAATATGACATTTACGTTTTTAGAAACATGTTTGTTATATTTGCAAATGGAGATTATACATTAAAAATGAGAGCAGAATAATTATCTTTGGACGAAGAACGGGTAACATTAGCTTAAACATATATTGTACAGGCTGTTATAAATTTAGTTTTTTTAACGACTGTGTTTAATAAATTATGCTACTCTATTTATAAAAGAAATTCACGAGTTTTGTACTCGTAGTTCAAAATTTCCCATTTTATAATCGGCCTTGGGAAATACAGAACGACTCAATCAACATTTTCAAGAAAATTCTGGTTGCATTTCGTTGTATAAAAATTCACGGTTTGTTGAATTGCGGTGAATTTTAAACTAGAAATGACGTAGTGAAAACCTTGGCACAATTTCGTTAGAAGTAAGAAGCAAAATCATCCGGAGTTTCTATCAAGTTCCCCTCAAACTAAATATAAGGTCTATTAAATCTAAGAGTGATACGAATAATCTAATTTGGAATTTGAAAATGTGGCAACAATTCCGTTTAAAAGCAAATATAAAGAATTTTATGGTTCAAAGAACCGCGGCGGTGCGTTTAGCAATTATGTCTCGTTGAATAGAAATGGATGTCTGATGATAATTGGGGAGCGCAAAAAGACTGAGAATGTTAATAGCATGATCGATGAAGTGGTGCTGTTATTGTAATTGCCACCCTTTTCAATTTTCACGGAACTGTCCCGTAAGGCGTAAAATTTTTAAACAAACTGGTATACAATTTCTTAGAGATTGGTACGATATGATATAAATGTGAGATAGTTACGCTATCATATCGGAGAATACGTCACAGAGTAATTTTTTACTTTTTGTAGCTGCTTGATAATCGAATAGGCTAGACAAAGTTACAAGTAGAGAATATGAGCTAGTATTAAAAAAAAGTTTGATTCGATAAACATGAAGTTGGACCAACCATAGGCGAAATATTTTATTGAAGTCCAGAAGTCATTGATTCCTAAAGATTAAACTTCATCGTCCAGTCCCTCGTATTGCCAACACTTCATAATTAAACGTAATTTGGTGTTACCCTATGTCACTTCATGACCACTTAAGATTTTATAGTTATAGCATAACCTCCATTTTTGTATTGGTATTGTAAAATAGAGTTCTAAGGATATCAATGTTCAAAAAGGAAAAGTTAGACTATATGATATTCATAGAACATATCTATATTCTCTATAATTCCAATTTCAAAAAGTAATTCGAAGATAGTAAAATATGATGACTTACTACGAGTTCCTCGAACTATCGATGTACTTTATACATGTGCAAGTGTATTCATTAAACTTTCTAAGTAACACATCTGTGTACCTTATGTTTGTTTATGCCAGAAAATAAATTTATTATCGGTCACTTGTTTGTCTGTTACAAGCATCATCATGAGTACTATACGGAAACTAACTACTTCAACTCTACGTTTTGATATCGCAGATAATATTGTATTCGGTTCATTGTTTGAACTTGAAAAAAATAATGGATAAAAATTCCTTAAATCGAACATAAATAATAGATTTTTGTAAATGTTTGTACAGCTTATTTCTCCAATTTTAATTTTTTTTCAAATTTAAATTGAAATTTTTCAAAAAAAAAATTTTTTTTCAAATTTAATTTCTCCAATAATTCGTACAATAAATATGTAACATAAAAACTTCAGTCTAATTTTTATTTACCTATGCTATTACTACAAATCAAAAAATATTACGAACGCCATTCTAAGTCGAAATTTTAGCAATTAAATTGCGAGATACAAAGGGTCTCGTAATTCTCATGTCGAAAACTCCTTAACTTAATTTATTGGTAGTATCATATTTCAATAAAAATTAGGAGACAAATATTAGGTACTTAAATTTCCTAGAATTATTGTATGACGTCACTGTTTGTACACCAAGTGATTGTGTAAAAGTATCTTTTTATTATTGGAAGGTCCTGTCCTTGTCTAGAATCTAAAATAAGACCTTGATCTTCAGTATTGTAAAATTTACGGTGGTTTGTTGTAGCGAAACCAGTCTCATTCATTTCTGTGTGTTGTTTTGTCATTATCATAACTGTATGTTTGTCTCTTTCGCAGGCAACTTAAAGAAAGAGACGGCGGCGGCAAGTAGTATTGAAAATCAGAAACTTGCAGGAGCTGTGGAGGTAGCGCGTGAATTGAGTTGTGATTACGTATGTTAAAAAAAAAACCTTTAAAGTGTATAAGCTTTTAAATTAAGTTTTTCCTTACAAGAAAATGCTAAGTGGTTTAGTGTTATAAATAAAGAATTCCGTTCAAAAGTGCTCAATTTGTATATGTGTAACAGTGCTCAATCAAACAAACAGCTCCTTATAATGGCTAGTGACTTAAATAATGAAATACGTCCATACAGTGAATTGATCAGTGAGTAAATAAATTAAAAGAATTTCTTATTCTTTGAAATGGGTGTTTGATTTGTCAGAACGGAATTGTATTCAGCGCCATCTGTTATCGAGTAGCCGCAATGTGTACGTGATAAAATGGAAGCCGGTTTTATACCGGTGGGCGCGAGCGGCAACGCGGCTAATAACGCGTTGCCGCCCGCAGTGGTGGCGCCACCGGTAAACGTCATCCGAGCGCCGGGCCTGAAGCGCGGGAAAATGGAAGAGGCGATATCGGATCGGGTAAGTCGTAATCGATTATTAAAGGTTTTATTACTTGATTGCAGTTGCACCGTTAAATTATTATTGAAGACGTGCTAAAAAATGTCAATTAGCATTAAATTTCTTTTCTTGGTCAAGTGGAGACTATATTTTTTAAAGCTGAACGTTTAAAATAAATGATAATTACGTTCTAATTGATATCTCTTATTGCAAACGCTAGTTAAAAATAAATAACCTCCTTACTCAGGTGGCAGTTCTTTAATAGGCATGTGAAAATGTGTTTACCTTATTTTCTTCACAAAATTGCTTGTTTAATAAAGTCTGTCCCATTTTTAAAATATAGGGTAGGTTCTTAAACATATTGTTAAGTAACCATTAGATATGCAAACAAACTGCGCCAAAACTGGTATGTCTTGAGACTCCAGGGAGTTGTAGGTGAATTTTTACCGCCCTGTGCTACTCTTTATGTTGGCATTCTTTGCTTCATAAAAATATCACAGGCTCACTGTAACAAACAATAACACATAAAATTATGAAATGAAAATTGTAATTCCTCGTGTTGTGTCCCAGCTGTAGATCGGAAATAACTTAAATATAACAATTAACGTAGCATAAATATTGTTCAGCGATTATTCCCGGTCGGTCATTTAACAACTTTGTAACAATGCCAAAAATTCGTCAATAGCACAAATCTTTGCATGTTCGATCCCGAAAGGTAATGATCGTCTCATAAGTAGGTACAAAATTTTTGATCATGAAGAAATTATTATCTTAGTAAGCTTATTACTGTACTGCCTAATGAGATAGATCATTTTATTTCTCCTCCATATACATTTTTCACACTATTTGGCGCAAAAAATTTTTATGGTTCAAAGACATATTATGTATTTATTATTAAACTAAAACTATAAAAGTTACGATTTGTTTTTATAAGAAATATGATTATTTCATTGTTTTTACATGTTGATCGTTCAAGTTATCATTCCTTTATAATAATATACAATTTAATATCTTTTGGCGCATCAAGGATAGAACGCTTCTTTAAATGAACGATACATCAGATGAACCGCCGGATCGTTTGCCATTTTTTCACATAAAAAAAAGGAAAAAAACCCTAACGCAAACTACTAGGTACTATACATCAAGTTTCGCCGCAACTAAGTGCTTTTCTTTGTCATGGCGGTAACAGGGAATTTGTCGCTATTTTGAATTTATAAAGTGGAAAAATTCAGTTATTTTTATTTACCTAAAACTATTCCGTCCGAACTAACTACCTTCTAAAATCTAATAAAAAATACCTCTAAGAAAAATTATTTACCATATCATTAAAATTTTCACGTTAAACATCAGCATAGCAAAATGCGGTAAATTTTTTACATTTCGTTCACTTGTAAATATTATTAATCAATAGAGTAACGTGTTGCCAACTTTTAAAAAAGTGAACCCCGGCCCGGCTACCTCACTAGACGAATCGCAGAAGTATAACACTTCCACTTCCACTATAAGTTAAAAATGTACTTTACTTCGTTCACACACACACACACGACAACACACATACTTATGTGCTTCACGTGCGCGTATTATCAACGATTTATAAATTTTGGGAATAAACCAGTAGTCGCCGACTGAATTAACTTATTCAACATTTAGTAAAAAAAAAACATTTGTCAGGACTTGTATCAGAATTTTGTAAACTAAGGTAACATTAATTAAACTGACCTGTTATGTTCGTTACGTGTACATTCTTGTATAAAATCAGCAAGGAAAGTCGTCAAATGTGATACGGCATAATTTATTTGCTGCCTACGATGCGATGGGTATGTCTACTAAAATTAACGACCACTAATATGTCTACTCGGTGTACTATAGGTCAAGGCAGAACGAATACTCATTAAATATAGGCTTATGTATTGCATTCCTACAAACCCAAATTCCAACATCAACCTATTATCGCGTTTCATTGCAATGTAAAGGGAGAACACTTGTGAGATCTATTACCATTGATATTTATAGCATAATACCTAATGTAAATATGGTATTAAAGTTGGGAGCCATTTTCCAAAATCTTTTTGGATTGGGTTCGGTTTTTTTTAATGTGAAAAGTTGACAAGCGAGTGGGCGGTTCACCTGATGTTAAGTGAATACCGCCGCCCATGGACATCTTCTACACCCGAGGGTTACAGACGCTTTCACAACCTTTTGAAAATTGGGCTCCGGCTACCTCATCCACCAGACGAAACGCGAGAGTATTTGTCATACTTCTACTTGACGCAGTAGGTGCGGGCGGAAAACCTCAAAATCAAATAGAAAATGTTTAATAAATGAGATATTTAAAGAAACTCGGTGGCGCTGTTGCCAAGCTTGGGCGTCGGGGGTCGTGGGCTCGAAAACCACACAGTACAAGTAATTGTGTGATCCACAGATAATTGTTCCGGATCTGGGTGTTTGTTTTGCACGGACGGTTGACGTCAGGCAGGTGGCCGGTCGTAAAAAGTATAGCCAAAACTGCTTACAAAATTTGTTCATAAAATTCATGTTGTGCTGGCCACACCTAGGTGGTATAAGGAAGGGCAGGAGTATTATGATGATTATGATATTAAAATTCGTTTTGTTGCAATTTTTGTAGCATTAGAAAAAAATACGGAAAGGTGGAAAACATCGAAGAAGACGTGCGCCTTCCCTAACAATCGATACAATTCGAGAGAAAAAGGGCTCCTTAGTTTATTTATGTATGATGTGCAGTAGAGCTTGATTGTGTGGAGCCATAGATCCAGCTTTTGCTTTATGTAGGTTATCTCCAATAAAGTAGCACTTGCACTTATATACACTAATACCACTAGTTTATACAAGTGTGACCGCTGTGGTATTGGGGATGGCTATGCTTTTTTGCCACCGTGTCTCATGAACTAAAAGGTATATTTTAATGGATGTTAAATCCCAATTAGCTCTGTTTTAGTCAGAAGTGGTGTCTGGTTATTAGATTTAACCTAATCTAGAATCTTCAATGTTCATCCATGTTATTAAATTTCGAAGTTGCCTAACTGCAAGGATACCTAGACTCAGGTTTCTGGCAAGTTTGAAATGTCTATCGAGGAATTTCTAATATGTAACATCGCCGTCGATTGGCGTGTGTCGCACTTAAGCGCAAACTGTTCCGAGACTCAAATTAAACCCTTAATTACGATTCTAACTACGGGTTTACGTTTTTGCTTATCCTATTTAGAGCTCGCAAGGCTTCAAAGCTATTAAGGTTAATCGATTTGAACGCTTCGATTTTTCAAACATCACTAATTGGTCACAACACTGCATAATCACGACATTTGTTAAATGTACTTCTCACTATTTATTTAACGTAGATCCTTTTTCTTATAAAATGATATCTAACCCAAAATAGTGTTTGATATTTTGAAAAAAATCATTTCGTCTATGAATTTCAAAGGTTTAAAACACGCAGTCACCGGAACGGTTGAAAAGAAGTTGGTGAAATTACTATCAATAGGAAAAGAGTTGACTTGCAAAACCTTAAAGTACTCTAGGAGTCTAATTGAATATAAATCGTTTAATAATGAAGTCCATTGCTACTAGCTTTAGTTTTAATGATCGATTTTGGACTACGGAGTTAAAAATCTGGTGGTAGTCAACATGTTTAAATCAAATACAAATTAAATTTAAATTTTCAAAAAGGTTGTCAAAGCATCTGCAACCCTTGGGTGTAACACATGTCCATGGGCGGCGGTATTCACTTAACATCAGGTGAACCGTCTGCTCGTTTGGCAATTTTTCACATAAAACAAAAATTAAAGAAATCTGTATCTTTATTTTTCCACGCTCCTTTACCGCGTTACCATGTTGTGTTTTTCTAAATTGCCTCTATTGTGAGTTTGCCAAAGGAAATCTTCTTAATCTATAAAGAAAAGTGAAGAACACATCCTTTCTAAGGTCAAATTGTCTTTTATTGTCATAGAATAGGGCATGTCAGACCTTGTGGTGGATGAGGTAACTTTGAATGTGCTATAAAAAGAAACGTTTGCTTTAAGTATTAAAAGACGAGTTTAACATTAAAGAAGAAATAAAAACGCAGAGTCAAAAGATTTATAAGTGCACAACCTTGCTCTTCCAAACGTAACGCTAAACGACCCTCAGTAGTGAAAACGAAGATCTTTTTAAAAAGCAAGAACATTACATGACGAACATTCACTACTTAATACTGAATTTTTATTTACTGAGCTTTGATCAGACATTTTACAATTTTTGTTCAGTCTCTAGTTTACGTTAGTCCTCAGTTGATCGATATTGATATTGGATGGATCCCTTAAAATCTGACAAGGAACCTTATAGGAGAGTCATGAGCATGTATTATGTTTAATTTGGCCGCGCGTTCTTTTCGTTCATTCGACGAAAGACCGAAATACGCCCGGCGGGCACAGGATACAGTTCTGTCAACTTCCGCCGCATTAAACGGTAGGCCACCTTCCCATTTAATAAGCGACTCCCACCACGGCGTGCGGCGGAACAATCAGTGACGCCAGAAACGCGGCTCGCGTCGGTCGCACGTCGCGACGTTATCGCACCGCCGTTCGTGGCAATTTCTCTCGGCCGAGCGAGAGTAGTTGAAAAACTGCGGAATCTGTGAACTCGTGCCCAGTGTGTGCGTCAGTGTACGCTATTCCGACCGGTCCCGTGAGTTATGGTCCCCCGCTTATGTTCACTTACGCCCGACCACTTGGGCGAACGTTCGTTTTCAGTTTCGCATAGTTTTAGTTTATAATTTATCGTATTCGTGCACTTGCATCTGTGGCCCCGTCGTGAATATCACGACGGCTAACTGCTGTTCATATACGTTACGATTATAACTTAACGATCGTACGACTGATTGATGAGTCAAGAACGTCTTTCAAATGTTTTCTTAATAAGCGGTAGTTGAAGATTTTTTCTAACACCACTTTATTGCAAGCCACGAAAGATAAGGCGCGATAGAATGGCGATATTAATTAACGCGAAACGGTCTCAACGCATGAGAGAAAATAGCATGATAACGTAGTTTAATATTTCACGCATAATTAAAGAGGCCGCCGTGAGTATCTCTTGTGTAATTTTTGTCTACGGCATATTATCTTGTCACTTTAAACAATGCTGTTAATCTTAACAGTAAACATGTAATTGCGTCGGATGAGTCCTTATTTTTTCTTAGGTCTTCATTTCTCCTTTTAGTTCTTTATTTGGCGAGATATAATGTATTGTTCTCCCTTACAAGTAATAAAAAAAAGATGTGTGTTTGACGAAATTGTTCGTTATTGGTTGCTCTTGAATTTATCTGTAGGAAAATTCTGACCTTCAGGATGATACTCTCAATGCAATAACATTTATAAACTGAACGTCGTATGTTCGGAAACCAATAACTATGCCTTATCCGAATCCACCCGCATGCTTCGCCTTTCGCGATAGGTAGGCAGAGGTTTAGGTGTCGGAAGGCCAAACAACCAATAAAAGAACTCATAATGGTACATAAAATTACCTCTTAAGTCATATTGTGGGATTGTCGTGCGCCGTTGCATATAACGAACTTTTGTGTGACAATGACCTAAATAAATCGACAAAGTTCTTTCACATTTCCCTGCATACTATTCAATATAGTTGATTTCGTTTTCATTAAATTCTTTAGTGGTATACATTATTAATGGTACATAAACTAAAATTGTCTACAAATCCTTGTCATTACATAAATAGTAGCGCCGCTTTTCCGATGATCTTTTCTACCGTTCATTTCCCTTATGAGCAGTTAAAACATTGTTTCCGTGCTTATAAAAGATACAATGTACCATAAAAGGCGATCACGTCTTGCCGTGCACGGCAGCATTCTTAATGCACTTATGAGGTCTAAGTCTCATTATAAGTCTAAGGAAGTAATGCAAACGCCGTGCCCTCTTAGGTAAAGTACGTACTGCAAAACTATAAAGCAGCAACAACGGTTTGTAGGGTGTTATCGTAGCTGATTTGGAGTTCTTGATTGGGGGATGTTTAATATTTTGATTATTAATTTTCAGGACACATTTTTACACAACGTTCTCTAGTTCCAAACTTAGCAACGCTTGTACTATGGGTACTAGATAATTGACAAACTTAAACGTGCTTTTCTTTTGTAAATAAATACACATTATACATATATTATTATACATAAACACCCAGACACTAGAAAAGTACTATGTTCATCACACAATATTTTTCCAGTAGTGGGGATAGAAACCACACCCGATGGCGCACGAGGCAGATACACTACCCATTACGCCATTCGGGTCGTTATGCTATCTTTTCTCGCGATGTAAATAATATTTCATGTATTAAATAATATTACTTCTGTGTTAGGTCTAGTGAGTGAGGTATCCGGCACCCTCATATTTAAAGGTGGCAATGCATCTCGCCACGGTTGTTGCAGATCTTAACGGTTGTTGCAAACTTAGGTTAACTGCCAGCTCGCTTGAAAGGCTAATGCTAGGAAGAATACTGTCATTTGGGTTTTAAATTGCTTGACTGTATTTATGCCAGTTACTGTGGCGTCTTCTGCCTTTTATGTTAATACTAATGTTAAATTCAATGTGATTCCCCCCGGTCTACTTAGAGCTGTTGCATCATGCACCAGTTTGCCAGGTACGTTACGTCGCCTCCCGCTTTGTTGTTTAACGCGCGATGTTCTATTCCGCGTACTTTAACATTTGCATGTCTAGGTATTGTGATGGTAAACTTTTACGTTCGCCATGTTGGTACTCGTAAAGTAAAAGTTCCGAGGCAACATTTATAAATGCTTAGTGTTTCGCTTGGCAAAGTTGGATTGATAGCACGGTATACGCGAATTAAGTTCCATTGAAGTATATGTTCATTTATTGGATTTCGCTTGCCCCGGGAGTTGCGGGAACGGGGCAGACGTGCACTCGTGAGGGGAAACGGATGTAGCGCAAATAATACGTCTGGATCCGCGTGCGTAGGTTTTCTTTTTTCTCTTTTTACGTACACCATCGAATATTGATTTACTCCCCCGCAGCGCTGTCTCATAATATTATCATCTCGATAAGGCCGTATGGTTCATTCCAAAGCGTTACAATTCCTAAGCAACAAAGGAAATTACCTCTACTCCGTTGGCCAGAGATTGTATTTACAGTTGTTAAATGTAAATATTAACACTTAAACATCTTCTACTATTAGCTTGGTATCTAATAGTTCATATAATTAAAGTCAAGCTCGACCATCTACGCAAACACCTAAGTGACTATAAACCACCTAAACGTCAAATATTTAAAATAGAAACGAAACTGTTGTCTACTACCTATAACTAATCTATACAATTGAATTTTGTGTAGTACCTATTCGGGTAAATAAAAGAAATCCTAAGATGGCCTTACGCTGAGGTCAATTTTTTAACGATTTCTTATCATTTATTAGAGATCTATTTTATTAGATTCGCCTTACATTGGAAATCAATGAGGATTGCTTTATTAAATTTTGCAAAATAATAATTATATTAGGAACTCCACTGTGTTTCGAATCCGTGATTTTTGATATATAATTTTTGTAACTCGCAAGTCGTGATGTCGTACCACTAGTCTTCACTGATTCAATAATTATGTTATAATCCGTGTCAATACGCCTTAAGCGATGAAGGTTGTAAGTATGGAAGCTTCAAGCTTCATAAATTATATTGTTGACAAGGATGCTTTACGCCCCCGCTTTGTTTATCGTTTGATAGTTATCTTGGCACGCCAAATTGGTAACTTTATTTCATCGTATCACATGATTTAATCCGTTAATCGGTTAATGTATTCTTAGATTATATCTATTATCTTATTTTATAGTTTTACTATAAATGTTCTATATAAAAATATGTATAGGTACATAGAAAAAAAAAAATGGTGTACTTTTTTCTTCTTGTTCACAAATGAAAACAATATCTTAATAAAAACAAACGTTGTTCATTGCAATTTTACTTGAAACTGTTGTGACTTATCTCTCGCACATAGAAGAGCTAATACGCTCTATATCTCTAGGGGAGTGACATCATGAGTGAGCGAGCGATCTGCGCAGTTGGGCATTAATTTATTTTATGGCTCAACTACAACGGAGACGTTCTGAGACGATGTAAGGACGTGTCTCGTGATTAGTGATAATAACACTGGGCATTTGGGGCAGCTGTTATCTTCCCTATCTCAGTGTCTCATCATTGTACATTCTGGAACATAAGAGAACTCATAAAAACAATTGTCACAGATTAAACATGCTGTAAACGCTCTAACCTATTTAAACACTTTTCTCGTCACCGATAAACTCTTTAATTGGCAGTTGACGAGTTTGAGTTATTGGTTTTGCACAATGCAATCGCTGCGTCTCTCTCTCCAAATGCTGGCGTACATTAATTCGTTCGCCGGCGGATGCGGTGGATTATGAAGAAGTAAGAAAAAAACGACAACATCAGACACGCAACGGCCCAGACGTTCGGTTCGGTTCTGCCAGCGGACATGGTCGGCGGACCGCCCGGCATTTTAACTTCACCGCTTTATTTGTCAAACGGGGCGTGACGTGGTAATCCGCCGCTAGACGTCAGCTCTTCATTCGACAACCAGTAGTCGCCCGCAACGATTCATAGGTTTGCAATTACATAGTATATTTGCCAACGTGATATTTTTATTAGTGACTAGCGACCCCGCCTCGGCTTCGCACGGGTGCAATGTCTACCTTCCTCTTGAATCACTCTATCTAGTTAAAAAAACCCGCATAAAGATCCGTTGCGTAGTTTATAGATCTGAGCATACATAGGGACAGACAGACAGCGGGACGACTTTGTTTTATACTATGTTCCTTTACAGATAGCTCGGTAGGTTGCTTAGCTTTTTGGCTTATTGGCTCCAGCACCGAGGTCGTGGGTTTGGATCTGGGTGTTTTTTCGCAATGAGGGTTTTTCGAAGTCAAAGTCAATGATGATGATGATGAAGATTCTTTACTGGGCACTTCGCATATTTACGATATGCTGTTGTTTGTTGTTAATTATTAGGTAGTTAATGTCAAGCTCAACCCATATAAAATTTTGATCTCATTAATATAAAAATGTTGATAGCTCTAATCTAAATAAAAAGATTTGTTAAAAATCACCATTATTTTGTAGCCCGTGAACATGTTTATAAATTTTTACTAATGAAAAATGTTTAAACGTAAATGATCAGTGGTAAAAATCAACACATTCATCGCACCTCGGACCAGAATAAAAACTTTTGTTTGAGCTTTGATTAATGTTCGTCGATTCTGACATGTTTTGACGGTGCTTTTATTATTGAGTAGAACAGCTACTTTAATGCATTTGTAATAAACATGAACCACGTATAGCAAATCGAAGGTTACAGCCCATAATAAAGGCGTGAAGTGTTTGTGCCATACGTATTAAACGGTAGGTAGGCAGGCACAGGTCACGTGTAAAGCCTGTTAAATGATAAGTAATAAAATGAAAACCATGTTTTCAATAGTTACAACTGCTAATAATATCGAACTTATTGTTCGATCGGAGTTTAAATTCGAGAACCTATGCCTTTCGATTTTCGCTTGCTATTAGACATCTTTCTTTAAATTTTCTGAAACTCTATAGCTCCCACT